GTTGGTTGTTTTCGATTCACAGGCATCAATATTTCTTACAATTTTTATCAAAATTAATTAACAAAATATATTTTAAACACCAAAAAAAGAATGTCGTTTTATCTTACTTGTAATCTCAAGTTCATTTAAAATTTACATGATGATTGTATTATGTTGGTGAGAGATTATAATTGTTTGGTTTGAAATTGGTATTCATAGATAAAAGAAGTTYTTAGAATTTAGCGCATTGGAARTTATAGCCCCCCTTAAAAAAAAAATAAGCCTCATTCRAAATTTATTTATTACTTTTATTAATTTCATAATTATCGTTATATTTTTCTATTATCTAAKAATTATAAAATATTTACCTAACAAATGACGCTAAGAGTCATAGAATCATTTTAAGTCAAAATATGTTTTATATATAGTTACRAACATGGCATTAGAATAATATGGTTGTAAGTTATGAAAATAATAACATCATTATTATAAATTAATTACTATAATAATAACCGCGGTTCGCTAGTTGCATATCGTTAGCTTATAAGATCAAACAATATTACTCTCCAATGATGGTACTAACTACGTACGTCATACATATTTTTCTTTAAATATAACACAAAATCTTTCTGTCTGGTGACATCAGATTTACAGGAGAATCTAAAAAATACTGAAATACACACTTTCTGACGATTTTAAAATATTTCGTCCTATTGTTGTGTTTATGCGCAATACAAATACATTTTTTAAATGACAAACATTTATTTAAAAATGTGTTGTAATTTAAAAAACTTACTGCAAGTACCAAGTTGCAAGTTTGTATAATAAAAGGCTAAACATTTTAAAATCCTAAAAAATTGTATATTTTAAAGGTCCCCCTAAACCTAATTTGTTTTCTTAAAATATCAATAACATTATTTTATTGCTTGATGAAAAATTTACATGAAATTTACATGTTTACGAGTTTTTCGTGTTTGTATTTCAAATTTCTGTAATGTTGGTTTTTCAATAATAAACTAATGATATCATATGGATTGATTATTTGATGTAATTCAAAAACGAATAACCGCAGATGCTTATTTCTCCCGCCCCCTCACTTCATAGATTTTCYACCGTGGTAAACACATAATGTATATTTTAAAATTGTAATAATTACAGTTTGTAAGCATAATAATGCTGATGATGTATTTAAAAATCAAGAATTTCAAAATTGATTGATAAAATACAAAAATATAAAATACTTAAAAAAATAATCATTTATTGAAATAATATTAGGCTTTATTTTTATTTTTTTTCGTGAATTATCAGTTAATGACTCATATGCAAACATTTGGCTTTAGGTAGGTATATAATATTTATCATTTATCTGAAAAATTACATACTTTTTTAGTTAGTCTTATTTAATTTAAAAACTATTAAGTTGTTTAAATTGCTCTTCAACTGTAGTAATTTTAAAGGGATCGGTTATAAAGAATGTTGCATGAAGTGCTGTTCTATTCCTTTTTAGATTTGAGAATTTACAAAGGGATTATGAAGTTTTTGCCTTGAGCAAAAAATTAAAAAAACTAGATATACAGCTTTCAGTGTTGACAAAGAGATAAAAGAAACCGCTCTCCGGGCACTTAATATTACATCTGTCAGCATTGAATAGCATTTTTTTTTTTTAATTAGGTTAATTAGGTTAATTAGGTTGAACTGAATGAATAATAATTTCTGCTAATCATAAGTATGAAAATTAGGTCAGCATTTCGGTGGTCGATGTTTGTCCATCGTCCCTTCGGTCCTCGGGCAGGACAAGATAGTGTAATATTACTGTATTCAAATTGAATGCAATGATAGCATTCGATAAAAAACGATTCTGAGYATACRAGGGATCATTTTTATTTAATTTTATTCATTTCTATGGTGATAAACWAAGTGTTATAAGAACAGCTTAAGAACGATTTATATTGTAAATAGGTAATTTAGATAATTATAATTAGGAAATATTATAAAAATGAAAAAAAAAATATAAAATAAAAGAAAAAGCTCAAAAGTCTCTCAATTACCATGTCTTGGTAAGGACGATATAAGTAAACAACCCAAATTTCAAGTTTTTACGAATCTTTTTAACCGAATTACAACAAAAAATTTACAAAATTAAAATGTCTATAAATAGCTCAAAAATTGCTAAAATTTTCCGAACATTAAACCTTAATGAACAAAATYCAAAATACAACAATAAATATCTCTTGTCATTTTTCATTTGAAKCAATATTTCTGGTAGTAAACGTCGTCCGTAATCATTTAATATTTTAAAATCGTGAAATCGTACTTTTTTTCCTTTTACCGCTTTTATTTCGAGTACCATTTCGAAAATCGAAAAATGACCTTTCTAAAGTACTAGCTCAAAAACATTACCTTTCAGAAAAGTTGTTACACTAAATATTTTTGAGCAAGTTTTGAGGGAGAAAAAAAATAAAAATAAATTAACATCATTGTAAAACCAATACATTCCTCGCTCCGCTCAGAATCTAAAATTTAAAATATTTAAAATTGTTTTATCTGTCTGCATTTCAAGGTAAATAATATTATGTTTTTGTTAATAAATTAATAAAATATTATATAATATTCAGCTAGGTACATTTAATTAATATTCTTAAATAGAAACTTAATATTATTTAAAATACATTTTATTAATTGTAAAAATTAAAATATTATATAATATTCAGCTAGGTACATTTAATTAATATTCTTAAATAGAAACTTAATATTATTTAAAATACATTTTATTAATTGTAAAAATTATTAAACTACCTACACAAATATCCTTAATTATTTTTCTATATTATAAATCATGGATTATATTATAAAGATGATATAAGAAAAGTTCCATGTATTATGATGTCATACTTTTTTTGCGCATGRTGTGAAGTAAAACTGAGGTACATTTTTGATTTACTCTAGTTTTTACTGTTTATTACATAATAATACATCAGGCACTATCTGCTCAATATTTTGTACATTATTATTGTATTTTGTTTTTAATTGAAGTGTGTCTTTTTGGCAATTATTTATTCATTATATTTAACAATATTTTATATAAAGAAAATAACTGTCTAGATTTTTGGAGTTATGTTGTTTTGATATATTTCATCTTGTTAGGTGTTTTTCGTATTTAAATTACAAATACTGTATAATGTAAGAATATACAGTAAATATGCATATCAGCCTCAGCGGGGGTCCRCATAGAGAAAGTTTTTGTTTAATGAAAMGTAATAAAGAGCTTAACATTGACTAATTGTTTAACGTTGTTTCAGCAGACGTTATTTTATATTATGTATTGCACACCTCATATGGGTGTTTTAATGACAAATAATCTAGTTTTTTTTTTTATAAATTATAAGAAGATCATAATATAATAAGATTTACATTAAATTTTAGGTAATATATTCATTGAGAATTTATACTCGTATATTTATTTTTCTATWAACGTTTTTAAACTTACTCGACAATTGAAAAAAGTGTTTTACATCATTAGTGAAATAAGATTTATGAATGAAAACAATAATTCATTAATTCGTCATAAACATTTTCGAACACCAACTAGAAACTAAAGACTATAGTAAGTTATAAGAACTGAACAGCTTATAGATAATTTTGCAGTTACAAAAATGATGTACTAGGCCCATTGACTCTTATAGCAATTGTTAAATAGGCGTCACTGTTGAATATAATAAATTTCATTTTACGATAATGCATGATTTATAAAATGGTCAAGTTACTTAGCTGATTGTCTGTATACCATCTAGACACTAGTGCATCATGCTTAAAGCGGAGTATATATAACGGTCTATAATTTATCAAGTATTTTGATGTTTTTTTTTCTTACATAAATGTCTTAGTCTTGTCTAAAACTGATATCACCAGGTACTCAGTGTGCTTAGATACCTTTAACCTCCATTACGTTGTGTATTATAACAAGAAGTTTGCTGAGTGATAATTATCATAATTAACATTTTTTTTATGCTACAAATTAATTTATGTCGGATGGCCGTATGAGTGGATCACGCCCACCTGTTTTACTGACTTAATATGTTTTTGATCTATTATCCTATGTCGGAACAACACCATACTATCATCGACCAAAACGCTTTTAATTAGAAAAGAAATAATAGGAAACAAAAATTAAAAATAATTTATAACAATAATTACGTGTCTAAAAACTACTTTCGGATTAAGAACTCATGATTATATTCATGAGATAGCGTATTGTATTATCATACATAATATGATGTTTTGACACAAGTGTTTGTATTACGAACAAATAGAAAAATATTTGAATTAGTAAGAAATTTAGTACACGTATCCTCATTTTATCCCTGTAGTGATGTAAATATCCTATTGATAATTGGTATATTACTAATAAGTAATAAGTAATGATATTATGGGAAGAGGTAGTTTTGGCGKTAAAGATCTTCAATGGATTKTAAAGCTGAAAAAAAAATTACTAATAAGTTAAAATTAATTTAAACGATTTTGTTTTCAATAACAAATAGGTATACAATTTTAATACTTGAAGTTCTTTATGTGATAAATGCATGTATCGAATAATTTGTGATTCAACTGTAACTAGTAGTTTAAATGTTGGAGTACATTTTTAGTATTACATATCTTGGCATTTGTTTAGACATTTGATATTTTCGAATTTTCTTAGTTTTTTTTAGGTAAGCGTTGATAACTTTTTTATTACTTATATTCATAAATTTATTATTATAATAGCATATTACAACATAATGTACGCCATGTTTTTGGAAAAACTTTGTTTAATCTACCGAATTATTTATAGAAAATAAATGAATAATATAGTAATATTAATAAATTATAAATTATCATTTAGGACTAAACTGTCTCCGCTCAGAATCGTTTTTCGTATGCAAATTAAATTCAAATGGCAAATTGAATTCATTAATTTCAGCGTGACTTATTCAATAACTTGGTACACATATGAATTGCACATATTAGACAATTTWTTTTATGCAGTCAAAACTTGGATTGATTACCTAACTAAAAAACTAATATAATGTTCGACATTCGTAAATATTAATTTTTATTGTTTAGTTAGAGTAAACTGTGAAACATGTAGTTACTAATAAAAGACATAATAATTCATACTGCGTTGGCATATTTTAAAACTTATTTTCGTTGTGTCTGAATGCAAAATGTGACTAATTGCCTTCAACAGACTTTCTAATTTGTCAAAAATGTCTTTGTGGAATTGTTTTGTAAAGCGTTTTATAATATGATGTGTGTGGCATCACCGCCGGCATAGCTGATGAATAGGGGCGGTTGGATTAGACATGTTGACATTTCTTTTGCATACACCTCGATTTTGCAGATTCTGGCGGCGTTTATGCTTTTCGGCATCTCGTGTTTCAAAGAGGTCGCGGTTTTCATAAAGGAATACCGACAATGTATGGTTGCACGTGTAAGATGAACGTGTTTAACTATAATTATAAAAGGTGCAGGTTTCGATTTAAACATCTCAAAAGACCGCTGTWCCTAACCTTTCATGCCTGTCACCTTACACCGGAAAAGTGTCTTTCACAATAAATATAAAGATCTTTGAATCTTTTCTATCTATTGTGTGTAAAYAATTCCCTTTTTATAAGAACACAAGAACCGACAGATTTTAAAATACACGATATGTACTTATAGTTGTTGTAATTATATTAGATATGGTAGTATAATATGTCAGCCCTTTCACGGATACAGTCAGAAATATAGTACCTATACCTTACCTATACATTGAGTACTCCGAACACTTACCTTTAATAGTTTTTAAATTTTTAAGTGCAAATACTTTGGGCTACGTTTTTCTAATTTAGTGGTACTGTGGTAGTGGTAAAAAATAAGTATAGAAGTTGTTTAGTTTTTTTTTATTTTAGGCACGAATATAGAACTACCCAATGCGGATTGGCTGGAAAAGAAAAAAGAAAGTAGTAAAAACAAAAAAAGGATAAGACTCCAAGTAAAAAATGTTTAAATCGGCTATTTGTATGCTGGCGCAGGTATATATTTATAGAGAGGGTTTGCCGAAACCAAAATACGTATTTAATAGAGTTCCGGGTTTTCAGGACGATGGGTACTAAATTTGTGACAAACGATGTGACGTTAATGGAAGTCGTGGGCGGCTTTTTTAATGTTCAGTGTACCTCTACTGTAAATAAGAATTCGGGCACGTTCTCGTAATAAATTGGCAACGGAAAAAGCAAAAAATAAAGAAGTCGAGCAAATAAACTAATAAAGTACTGCCATTTAAATAGAAATTCTGCAAATGAAAGTTTTTGTGTATTATAGTGTACTATAATATAATGAACCTATATAATATAATGCTCTATACAAGATATTATGTGTAATGAGCTTATATTATATTGTTTTACTTTCATTGAATTTAAATCGGGTCAGGAGGTCTAATTAAGTCGAGCTGGAAAAAAGCAAACAAAAGAATCCTCCCCGAGGTGAAACAATATTCGCTGGATGTCCAGCTGTTAAGAGTAACATGAATTAGCGTAAAACATAAAGGATATCAATATGATCCGTTGTGCTTGATAAACGATGT